CCCTGATAAGGAGTTGTTCACCATGGGAATGAGAAATCTGGGGCTGCATACAGCTCCCCATCCCTCTTTGGGTCCCTAGTGACTACTCTTGCACCCTCATAGGGCAACCCACAAGTGGGGCTACTTGTACTATAGCAGACCTGGGGGAGGTTGAGACAATAAGAACATGAAGGAAGTATGGTGTACAACTGGAGGGAGAGGTTCAAAGAGCCCCATGAAGGTCTTGAAGGCCCAGATGTGGGTTGATTTGATAAAGGCAGTATCAGTAAAAGCAAAACTTGGTGGACAGCCCAATAGAATCTTGTTAGAACTGTGGCACCAATTAAAGCCAGAGCAGCAGTTCCAGCTGCTGAGTTCCAGGACATGGAAACTGGAGGAAAACCCCATGTCCAGCCCATGTGTCACAGGACTTCCTGGGGGCGAGTACTCAGACCCCACCTGGCCCCCATCCCCACAGGAGTGTGATTGGGTGTCGCAGTTTGACTGAGGTTGGGGGTTCATGGTGGGGACAAGAGGCCACATGTACAGTTGGCAATTCATTGGTCCCCCATGAATGTACAACATGTCCTGGCACTGGTGGACACAGGAGCTGAATGTTCTTGAAAGGGCAAGCTCCCAGATTCTATTTCAGCAAATTGGGACCTGGATCCTATTTCACCCAATCGTAGCTTAATCCCTCTCTCCCCTCCAGTAAGCAAGAACACCCACCACCCCTGGACCCTGCCAACTGACCAAAGCCACGACTCATCACCCCCCAACTACCCCCAGGCCCAGCCAATCAGCCAGGGCCACGGCCATCACCACCCCCCAAACCGCCCTGGAAACCCATAAAACCTTTGTTCTGGGGAAAACGCACTCTCTCTGGCATCTTGCCACTGCGTTGGTGTAGATGAGAGACTGAGCTCGAGCTAGCTCGAATAAAGGCTCTTTGCTTTTGCATCGGTGTTGGCTCCTTGGTGGTCTTCTGGGATTCGTGACTTTGGGCACAACATTCTCTGATTTATGACAACCCTGAGCAGATTCCTGGGACTCCCGCTGTGATAGATGGCTATGGGAGTAAGGCAATTAGAGTGAAGAAAGCCCAAATTCCATTGGGACTAGGATGTTCCTCCAAAAGAGTATACTGTGTATATTTCTCCAATCCCTGAATATATTTTGGGGGTGGATATTCTGCAGGGCCTGTGGTTACAGACCACTGCAGGTGAGTTCAGACCGAGGATATGTGTGATGAAGGCAGTTCTGAGGGGACATGCTAAGCACTGGCACATAGCTCTGCCTGTACTTTGGCAAGTACTTTGCCTGGAGGGCCCAGAGAGATTGGAGAAATTCTACAGGAGTTGGGGAAGGTGGTCATCATAAAGCCCACTCATAGTCCTTTTGATTCCCTGGTGTGGCCAGTGAAAAAGCCAGATGGCTCCTGGCATATGACCATGGATTACAGGGAATTGAATAAAGTCACACCCCCTTTGCATGCTGTGGTCCCCTCTGTAGCAGTCCTTATAGACGCCTTCAGTTATGAGCTAGGAACATATCATTATGTTGTGGACCTTGCTAATGCTTTCTTCTCCACTGACAGAGCACAGGAAAGTCAGGAACAGTTTGCCTTCATGAGAGAAGGCCAGCAGTTGACATTCAGTGTCCTTCCACAGGGATACCTCTACAGCCCCACTATTTGTCATGGACTTGTATCCCAGGACTTGGCAGCAGGATAGAAATTGCTGGTGGTGTGGCTGTATCATTATATTGATGACACTATGCTCACGTGTGATTCTTTGGAGATCTAGAAGGTGCAGCACCTAGACTACAGCAGCATCTTCAGGAGAATGGATGAGCTGTGAACAGCACCATGGTTCAGGGACCTGGTTTATAAGTAAAGTTCTTGGTGGTTGTCTCATCAGGTAAGACTAAAGTTATCCTGGAAGCAGTCATAGACAAGGTCCAGGCTTTCCCTATGCCTACCACTGTGGCAGTATTATAAGAGTTTGGGGTTTTTTGGTTTTTTTTTTTGTCTACTGGAGAGTGTTTATCCTGCACTTGGCACAAATTCTGAAGCTCTTATACCAGTTGGTAAAAAGGGGCATCAGGGATGGGACTGGGGTGAGACATGTGTAGCTGCTTTCACTGCTGCCAAGTGAGCAGTCCAGGTCATACAGGCGCTGAGTGTAATGGACTCATCAAGGCCCTCTGAGCTAGATGTTCATGTAACCAAAGATGGTTATGGATGGGGCCTCTAGCAGCAGCTTGAATGATCACAACTAAGAAAAGGAGCAGAGGTCCTGTGCATCTTGACAGAGAAGCAACTGGCTGCTGTGTACCACACCTTGCTGGTATGAAGCCCATCACTGGAACAGCTCCAACCAATGTAATAACTACATACCCCATTGTGGGGTGGGTGTGAGACTGAATCCAAAGGCCACGCAGTGGCATGGCAAAGATGCCCACACTGGTCAAATGGGGCACATATTTGCAGCAGTGTAGCATCCCCTACATTAGCCCCTTAAGTGAAGAACTCTAATACTTATTGGGGCCACTGATATCCACCAGTCAGAAGCAGGAAGAACTTGCTTTGGAGCCATTGGTAGTTGAGAGTCCTTATCAGGAGAGAAAAGCCCCTATACCTGAAGATGCTTGGTATACAGATGGCTCCAGTCATGGGCGGCCCCCAAAGTGAAGGGCTGTGGCTTTCTGCATGGACAGCTGGGCTGTCTATTGGGGCTTGATGCTGTGGCTACTGACATGGTACCATGTCAACTGGATGGTTGGTCACCAGCCTCTTTGGGGACAAGAGTGTGACAAGACCTATGGGCCTCTGGTCAGAATAAGACAGTTACTGTAGATCATGTGACTGGCCATTTACCTTTGGCATCCCAGGGAATGATGAAGCAGACACATTACCCAGGTACATTGGCTAGAAGGAAAGTCTACCTCTGATGTAGCCCTATGCATATGTAGCACACAGGGCAAAAGACAATGTGGGCTGTAGCTCTTGGTGGGGCTTGCCCTTTGAAGAAGTCAGCAGAGCCTAGAAAGAGTGCCATGTGTACTCTACAAGGGGCCTACGCTGAGTCCTGCAGCAACATAGGACAATAGTAAAGGGTCTGATACCCCTTGTCAGATGCTAGATAGATTATATTGGGCCTCTGCCCATATCAGAAGGATATCGGTATGTCATACTTGTGTGGACACAGCTACTGGACTGTTGGTTGCTTTTCCTGAATGTCGTACAGATCAGCAAACCACCTAGAGAGTCTCTTTCCAGGCTATAGCTGGCCACACGTGATTGAGAGCGATCAAAGCACCCACTTTACTGGACATGCATTACAAGAATGTGTGTGCAATTAGGGATAAAGTGGAAGTTTTATGTACCATATAACCCTACTGGGGCAGGCATGATAGAGAGATACAGATACAATGGTTTGTTGACATTTGGCCTGTAGTCAGATACCAAAAGTCTAAAGGGCTGGTCAGTCCACTTATGGACAATGCCACCGCCTGAATGAGAAGCCCTGGAAGAGGGTACTGAGCCCTGTGGAATGGTAATATACATTGCTGCCTCTCCTATACAGCTGTATGTACAAACCAAAGAGGAGTTACTGAAGCCAGGATATAGCCAGCAGAGCAACATCCTGGCTCCCAGCCCTAACTGCGTTAAACCCTGGAGACACTGTTGAGTGGACATGGCCCTGGACAGTTCAACACATGGACCAGTGATGGCTGGCCCTTCTGGTACCTTGGGGAAAAGGCCTGGAAAGTGGTCTCCTGTGTGTTCCTGCAGTAACAGCAGAGTGGCCCCCAAAGATCATGGTAGCATACCCAAAATGGCTGGGAGGTAAGAGCATTTTACAGGGAGGTTTTGATTTATCTTTGTGGCCAGTGCATGTTCCTGCCATAGCCCTATATATTGACCCATCTGTCACTCCCACAGGGAAAGTGTGAAGGTCTGGAATAGTAGACCAGGTCGAGATCACATTCGTGCTACTGTCCTATTACAGGATCACCCTCTTGCATGTATCCTACCTGACGGACAGGATTTGCCTATGCTGGTGTCATTACAACATGCATCTCATCATCCTTAAGGTTATTCTCTTCTACAGGTCTTGCAGCTTGGACCTGCCTCCTGGCTGCAGCTGCTGCTTGCTGAGTGTGCATGGAGCTCCCTACCGGTTCAGCTGCTGTCCTCTTGTGGAATGGACGAACTATGGAGTTAATCTGAGTGGGACTTTGAATTTAGCTGGATCCTCAGGCATGAGGATTGTCATGATTTTATTGTTACCTGTGTTTCTTTTGTTGTATGTTATTAGTCTGGTGACAGGGCTCCAGCTTTCTCACACAGGGGCCATTGCGGAAAGTGGGGAGCAAGTAGATTATAAAGTGAGAATTCTGGATGGATGATTTGTGGGGTAATTTTCTAGAATCTCACGCCTGGCCTCTGCTTCCCGTAGTCTGGGACAAGGAGAGGAGAGAGGCTGTTCTCCCCTCCCCTCTGTTGTATAATTGGTCTGGTGCCTGTCGATCATTGGGGACCCACCCACAGAGTTCCTCCCTGAAAGGGTGGTTGGAGAGGCAAGTGGGTACTGATTACTGTGGCGGCAGAGACAGAGAGTGTCAAGCAGGCTTTTGCTAACCGGGACCCCGGAGAAAGGCACGGAGCAAGAGCAGTGGACAGAGGGGACAGAGCTGGACCTCCCTGTGGGCAACAAAAGGGTTCCTCCCGATCTATCCTTTCCCTTGACTGATTTCGGTCGCGTTGGTTTATTCGCCCCAGGCGGGGAACCTGATCCTGGCCAGAGGTACACCAGGCTGTTGAGGGGCTGCCCTGCCTCCTCTCAACCCCTCCCAGACAGGACCCTCCCTCAGACCTGCCCCACAGCTCCCAGCGTCCCAGCCTAGGCCAATTCTGCATACCCTCATCCCAGGCTGCTCCTGAGGAAATCCCAACTTCCCCTCCTCGGAGAGGCTTCCCCTGTCTAAGAAAAAAAAAATCACTTATGACACACTAAAAAGTGGTAAGGAGGACTTTATTTAGAGGGGGACACTGCAGTGGAGTTTTGTAGTAGGAGTGGGGTCAATCCGAAATACAACAAGGAAAAGAATTTACAGCAGAGGTGGGGGGTGGGCGTCGGTGGCTGAACATTACTAAGAGGAAACCTCCGGGGTTAGGGGGATTCTCGCTACTGTGACCTCACAGGATTGTTGCTGAAGGCAGGCCAGGCATCCCTCTGGGGATTGCAGAGGACGAGGAGCCAGTTAGATATGGAGCGCAGGGGATTCTGGCTCAAGTAACTTAACAGGATTCTTGTTAGAAATGGACTGTACAGTGAAGGACACCTTCTGAGGTCAGGCCTAGTCAAGAAGAAAGCCCAGAGCACCTGGCCAGAGTTTGGCTAAGCTTTGCTAATTCCTCCCACCCCACCCCACCCCTGCAGTGGAAAGCCAGCCAGCTTTCCTTCCAACTTCCACAGTACTCAGGACTCACCACTTGGGTCATGGTTTACTTTTTTGTTGCTAAAAAATAGCATTTTTCCTTTTCTGAATCCCGTATAGAGGGCTAAGGCCCACCCATTAGGATGGTGGGTTATGCCACCTGAATCATCACTGTGCGGCCTGCACCCTCTCACGACAAAGGTTCCCTAACACCTAGTCTCGGAGAAATTTACTCTCACACCCCAGACAAGCTTCCTCTGCCTTCTCCGTCCTCAGCTGACTTGCTTGCCACCATGGAGGCCCCTCGCATCCCCATGTCTGTAGGCCTGCCCTCCTCTGGCCTGGTCACTACTGGAGATGTCTTCCTCTGCAACCTGTGCTGGGCAGGTCTGAGGGAGGCACTCAGCACATTGCTGTGCAGTGAATGGTGACTGCCTCTGGAGCCCCACTGGCTGGTGCAGACCTGGTTCAGACCAGGTGCCCATGAATGGTGAACTGGGAGCTATCTCCTCCCTCCTGACTCAAAGCCCCCAGTGCCTTCTGGGCTGGAGCTGTAGCAGGCTCTGGGAATGAATGATATGGCCCTGCCCTGCAATGCCCTCAGCCCAGAGAGAGGCAGACTGACAATTCCAGCTGCACAGAGAGAGCTGGTACAGCTGTGTGGTCTGTAGGCGGAGGGAGTGGGGATCACTTAGATAGGGCAGGGCATGAATTCAGGGAAGGTTTCCCTGAGGAGGCAAGATCTGGGCACTGTGAGGGTCTGCCAGGAGGATAAGGACCCAGAAGGCTGCTGGGCTCAGAATGGGTACCACTGTCAGTGACCTTGGAGGCCAGGCCGTCAGCTAAGAGTTCCAGGGAACTGCAGGTATGACAGTGAGCTGAGAACAGGAGGGACCAAACGCAGGGAGCCCAGTTACAGTTCACCTCCATTCTGGAGAAAACTGACTGCCTGGGCCTAGTTGGCTAGGTGAGGGGGCCTCAGGGCAGCTGGGGAGACAAGTCAGGAGGGGTTGTCCCAAAGCAGTAGCCACCATTGTAGCACCTGAGATCCCCAGTCCCAGAGCCACCCAGCCGGCTTGGGGACCAGGAACTGGTTTGCCCAGCAGGGATGAGCTAACAAGGATCTGGTTCCCTGTGAGACGCCTCAGCTTCAGTTCTTGTGCCCTCCCCTACATCTGGGCCCTGCCTTGGTTTCTGGCACAGCTGCCAAGTTTTGGTACGGCCCACCCACTCCCCTCTGGCTGTACTGGCCGGCCCAGCTCTCTAATAGCTGGGTGGGGAGCTGTTCTGCAGAGATGGTACACCGAAAGATGGGCCCTGGCCATTGCGGGGCACGTGTGCACCCAGCTGGACTAGCTCCAGGCTGCAAGGAGGGAGCGACCCAGGTTTCAGCCCAGCACCCGTATCTTGGAGGCCGTGTCAAGAGTCACTGACCCAGAGACCTGTTTGGAAAGGTCCATGAAATGGGTTTCAAGGCCTTTGGGGGACCGACCTGTCTAATCAGGTGCTCCCCCATTTCCCTCCCCATGAAGGCTTAGGGACGGGCCTAGATGGATCTCAATTAGGCTTAGGGGTCAGTCCTGGCCACAGGTTCCATCCAAGTCTGGCCAGCCCTATAAGAGGCCAGGGCTAATGGGAAGGAACAGGGCAGAGGGAGTGGTCAGGGACCCTGGCCTCCAATCCAGGGACTCCAAACACCTCCCCAACCACACCCACTACCTACAGGACAGCTCTACACACACCTGCCACTCAGCCAGCCCTAAACACACCATCCGCACAGCAGACAAGTCACACACCCTCTCTCCACCCTGAAAAGGTGGGGCACACTGGCTCACATTCCACAGCCTCATCCATTACCATACACAGGGATGCCACTGCCAGGACCTACCTGCTGGGGCCCAAGAAGCTGCCAGGCATGGCCTGGGGTGGGGTGTGGGCTCTGCCAAAGGCAGCAAACAGGATTTCTGCAGAGACCTTGTCAGCTGCTGCCCCCAAGGGCAGGGCTGGGAGGACAGACTGTAGGCTGGCACCCCTGGGGCAGGAAGCACATCTAATTTACCCCTGGTGGCCGAATAGTGCCTGGCAGAAAGGATGTACTCGATGTGTGGCCCAGTTACAGTGATGTACCCGTGAGGAAGCAGTTTCACCCTGGGAATGGGTAGATGTCACCAGGCCACCCACACAGGAGAGAGCCCTAGAGGGGCAACAAGACTGCTGAGGCCAGGGGTGGGAGTGAGCTTCTGGGGGGCAGGGACCAGCCTTGGCTGAGAGTAAGGGTAAGGGAGCTGGTGCAGGGAAAACAGGTAGGAGTGGCTGCTGCTTCCCCTCTGGACAGAACTTTCCAGAAAACAAATCAGATCACATATCACCTCTCCTTAAAAATACCATGTCCCTCTCGCCATTGCCTCTGGAAATATCAATGTTCTTTTACCAGGTGACCTACGCACAAGCTTTCTCTGCCTCATCTCCTGCACCTTTCCAAGCACCCCCTTCCCTGAGTGGAGGGTGCACCATAGCCAGACAGAAAGATGGAAGCTGCATTCTGGGAGAGTTGGGGCCCTAGCGGAGCCTTGGGGTGCCCCAGCAGAATCTGCCTTGCTCCAGCCCCAAACCCAGCAGAGGCCTGAGCACCCAGGGCCCAGACTTTACCCCAAAAGAACGTCTAATGTCCTAGCAACATCTTATTTAGCTGACTTTCCCTTTTGTTCTCCTGGGTTCCCTGGAATTGTTTCTTCTAAGAAATCCCTCTGGTGCTGAAGAAAAGAATTTCAGCCCACATGGCAGCTAAGGAATGGTGTGGTGAGGGGGCAAGGATTCCTCTACTCCCCAGCACGTTCGTGCACAGGCCCAGGGCACACCCTCCCAGACGATGACCATGCAGGGAGCTACAGCCCAGGCCAGCACCCCAACCCCGACCATTCACGGTTCTTTAGACTCAGGCCTGCACCAGGCCCAACCTATCAACCCATGACCTCCTCATAGAAAACGTGGTTTTATTCTTGGGGAGGCCAATGTTCCCATTCCAGCCTCCCACCATCTAGCCTGCCCTTCTGCACCAGGGCTCTTCATTCCCCAGCCTCCTTCCCCGGGCCACACCGACTCCTGGGAGCAGGGCTGGGCCCTGCCTGGGTGCTTCTGCCAGGAGGGCTTTGCCCTGGCTCTTGCTGCTGGTACCCTATCCAGCCACCAGGACCACTGGATACCTCCTCCTCCCAGGGGGCCTCCCCATCCCTGGCCGGCCTCAGCAGACTCTGCCCCAGACCACTGTAAGGCAGAAGCCACCGTGGCAGGGCGGGCTTGTCCAAGCCCTCTTCTGACAGTGCATTCGCTCTAGGCGCCTTCCACTGGCCTCAGATCTTGGAGGACTCAAGCCGAGGACTCCAGGCTGTGGAGGGCTCCCTCAGCACCCGCAGCTCCTGCTCCAGTGCCTGGTTGCGGCGGTACATGTCCATGTAGCCCCCCTGGATCTCCCGCTGGTAGCGTAGCACCCGCTCTTTCTCTTCCTGCCACGTCTGCCGCTCCTGCTCGAAGCGGAGCGCCTGCTCCTGCCCGCGGAGCCGCTCCTGCAGCAGCTCGGCCCGCAGCTGCTCGGTGCCACCTCCGGCCTCACTGCCTCCTGCCTCCCCCAGCAGTCCCCGGCTCTTGCAGTCATCGGTCTCGCAGCTGCCTGCGGCTTCCTCCCGAGGGGCCTGCTCCTGGAGGCTTTGCACAGCCTCGCGCAGCCGGGCCAGCTCTGTGTCCTGGGCCTGGGCTTGTGCCCTGCTGCCCCGAAGTTGCGTCTTCAGGCTGAAGATCTCAGCCAGCTTCTGTGCCAGCTCGGCCTGGGCCTCCCGCAACTGCTGCTTCAGGAGGCTAATCTCTGCTTGCTTCTGGCACACCTGGAGCGGGTGCAGAATGGACAAGAGTCAGGGTCACATGGGGACAGGCAGAGGACTACAGCAGTGGGGACCAGGTTTCTGAGTGCCAGTCTTACCTCCCATCGGGTTTCCTCCTCCGGTCGGGCGTTGGGGTCGGCCTCTGCGAAGCGGGGCTCAGGAGTCAGGCCCTGCTGTGCCCGCAGCTCCTTGCGCAGGCGCCGCTGCTCCTGTTGGGCCATGAACAGCTGTAGCTGCAGGTTGCGCTCACTGCGCTCGGCTTTCTGAGCTACCTCGTGCAACCGCTCCACGTAGAGGCGCTTCAGCTCAGCCAGCCACAACCGCTGGCGCTCCTCCAGCACCTGCCAAGGGGAAGAGGTACCTGCCTGGGCCGGATATCCCCTCCTGGACACTGACTGCCTGTGTTCCCACAGGAGGCCCATGATTCCAACACCCCAACTCATGGTCCTCCCAGGGCTCTCCCAACCTCCCTCACAATCCCCAGCAAGGATCACAGTGACATGACATCCTGTCACGTGGGGCAGGGGGAGAGGAGCCATATCATCTCCTTCCTTACTCTCTGGTCCCTAGAGCTGTATGGGTGGGTTGGCTTGGGACCCTCTGCCTTGTACTCCAGTGCCAAGGGACAGAACAGGACCCCAGAGCTGGGGCTGCCCTCACCTGCGTGAAGGGGTTGGAGACATCCTCATCTGCAAGGCTCATCTTGAGCTCCTCACAGGTGTTGGGCAGCATGGCCACCCCCTCCTCAGCGGTGGGGCAGGAGAATTCATAGGGGGGCGGTGGCTCAGGCAGGCAGCCTAGCACAGTCAGTGGTCCAGCCTCCTTGGGGACCCTTGCGGCCCGGTCCAGGGAGCCCCCAAGATGGTTGATGTGGCCCAGTGAGGAGCTGAAGGGGCCGGTGCCGGTGCTGGGACTACGGCCAAAGCTGCCTCCGCTGGAGGAGTCGGACAGGCTGGGCTCGGGCTCGGGGCCGCCTTCGTCCAGGCTGAGGGCATGTAGCAGCTGGGCACGGGCCTGTGCCTGGCTGGCCTGGGGCCCTGGGCTAAGGGGCGGGTGGCAGGCTAACGTGTGTAGGCTGCCGTTGCTGCGCCACAGCTTCTGGCCCTTGTGGGCCGCCAGGCTCTGCACGGACAGGAAGCCTTTCCCCGTGCCTGCCACAGGCTTGAACACTGACGGGCGAATGCGGCACTGCCAGGAAGAGAGGGCAGGTGTGAGGCCTGGGCGGACTGCTCTGCCCTGCCCTCTGATGCTCCTGCAGCCCCTGGGATCCTCTTTGAGAACACGGGGTGCCTGTCGCCAGAAGGCAGTGACTGAGCCTCAGGCGAGCCTATGGCAGGATTTTCATGCCCCAACCCCATCCCAGCATCAGGGTCTCCAAGGAGGTCCCAAGATTGCCATCCCCACCCTCCAACACAAGGGAGGGGAGTGGGCAGACACACCTTGTCGAAGCGACCCCGCTCTGGCAGTGAGGTCTTGCTGAAGTCACCTGCCCGAGGATGTTCCTGGTAGTAGAGGGTGGCATAGTCGGCAGGCTCATTCCGAGAGGCCCGCTTGGTGGTTTTGCCATCCTTCTTGGGGAGGTGCAAGTAGCTGAGGAGCTCGCGCTGGCCCAAGCCCTTCCGGAGGAGCCCATCAGGCTGGCGGGAGCTCCGAGACCCTGCCAGTGCTGCCCGAAGCTCTTCAGGGGAGAAGTCCTGCCGTTCCAACAGGCTGCCCACGCTGCCCATGGCAATGCCAACAGGGCCTGGGGCTGTGGCCATGAAGTTCAACAGGGCATGGGCAGCTGCTTCTGGGGGTCAGGAAGCTCCATCAGGGGCAGGTGGGCACTTTCCGCCCACCTGCCCCTGATGCCTAAAACCAGGTGCCTGTTCTCTGTGTCAGCTCCCTACCCAGGCCGAGGAGAGGCAGCTGAGGGTCCCAGGGAGAATCCAGGATGGGGTTCCCAGGCTGGCAGGAGGAAGGGGTAGAGGCCCTAAAGCAGCAGGATGGGACCCCTCCCAAGATGGGGCCAGCTGAGGATGCAGGCTCTGTCTTACTCTGACCTTGCTCACCCTCCTGCCAGGCTCTCCATGCCACCTAGGAGGAGGGAAGAGGGCACAGGGAGCCAGGACCAATGGTCTCAGACCCTCCATTCCTTTTTCCCTTGGCGGCGGGAACCACCCCCCCCAGCCCTCCTATGAGGGTCCGAGTTCCCTGAGGGAAGCACCTGGTGTGGGTGGAGCTGGTGGGGGTGGGGGGGGCTGCCGCACAGGGATCCAAACAGGAAAGGCCTGAGGGGAGGATGAAGGACGGTAGGAACAATGGCCACAGTTTCCGGAAGAGATGTTCCCATCAGGGCAGTGGTGAGAGGCAGAGAGAAGGGGCATTTGGAGCCCCTACCAGAGTTTGCATATGCTGCCACCCTGAAGCCCACTACCATGCAGGGGGATCCCAAGTCCTGACTCAGCGCGGAGCCAATCAGTGTGCGGGCTGGACTTCCTCATCTAGGCAATGGTCACGGTAACTCTTATCACTCAGGGATGCTGGCGGGATGGGCTGAGGACATGGGACAAAGTGCCCAGTCCCATAGGCAAGGTTAACACAGGCTGCGCAAGCCTGGTTACCTGGTCAGGAGCATGACCACCACCAGTGGGCAGCTGAGTGACCAGGTCATGGATGGTCTCCCACCTCTGCGGGGAGCGCGCCTTGGAGGATGGGCCTGTCTCTAGCACCCTGCTGGATCCCAAGTCCAGCCCAGTGCCCAGCACGCTGTAGGTACTTGGAAAGGACCTGCCGAATGGACTAACTAATGACTTCTGTCTCCTACCACCCAGCAGCTGCTCCAATTCCCAGACAGACTCCCAGCAGGCGCACAGCAGCTGCATCCCCCGCCACCCACCCAGTATGCTTCCGGGACACCCACTCCCGCCCCAAACAATGGTTGTTAGGAAGGTCCATCTTTCAGTCATTTCCAGGTTTTGTGTTTGTGGCAGACAAAGCTCTCTGGAGGGAGGGAAGCCTCGCTCAAGCCCTGCTCACCATCGCTGTCTGGCCCCTGACCTCACCCTTGGCAAGTGACCTTCCCAATCCTCCACTCCCAGCCACCAACTGGCTCAAACTTTCTGGGGGTGTCACAGCACACAGGGTCAGAGACTCACCCAGGCAAGGGATCACAGGTGCTAGGCACATACAGCGAAACAGCCCTGTGTAGGGGTCTCACTGAATTCTGTGACATAGGTGTCCCTTTTTTTAGGTAAGGGCACTGAGGGCCCAAAGTTGAAGTGGCTTGTCCAAGGTCACAGAGCTGGTCGGAATGAGGATGACTATGATCCCAGCAGAATGGCTGCTGAATGTCCACTGGGGGCCCAGGACAGCATCCACAGCCTAAAGAGGGGGAACTGAAGCATCTCCCAATCGGACACCCACTCACATGACAAGCTCACCCAGAGATAGACACCTGTGTCCAAGAGTACACTCAACTCATGTCACTGCTTTGAGGGCCAGAGGACAGCACAGGACCTGGGCTCCAGCCCCTCCCACACTCTCTCTATGGGGACCCCCCACATTACTGCATCTCTCTTTGCCATGACTCAGTTTCCCCATCTCTGAAGGGGGAAGGCTGCCTGCCCTAACTTCCTCACAGGGTTCCTGTCACAGTGACAATGGAGGGGAAAGGTCTCGTGAACTATAAGACTGGTGCAAGCGTGGGGGGTGGTGACCTTGGCGTTGGCGCCAAATACGCACACCTTGCTCCAAACACACACTGTTCAACCTGCCCCAGGCAGGTGCTCACTTCCTTTTTCAGGGAGGGATAACTGGCACCCCAAGGGTCCCCATTAAGGGTCTCAAGTCCAGGGGGAGAGTCCTTAATCTAGGGACAGCCATGGGCCACAAGGGCATGTATGCCACACACACACTGCAGTCCCATCAGTGCCACTATCAGCACAGTGGCCCCTACATTAGAGGATGTAGCTTGGATGGTCACATCCACTGGGACACAGTCACGCACAAAGTCACCCACAGGCACTGAGCACCCTCTGGGACACACATACATAACACAAATACTCCAGCAGGGAGTGCCCATCCCAGCCCCCAGGCTAAATGCAGGTGTGTGTGTGTGTGAGCCATGGGACCAGCTTCTGTCCCCAAGTGACATGAGCTAGTAGAAACAGCTGGATGAAGATGGAAGACATTCTGACCAGCTCTGTGACCTTGGACAAGCCACTTCACCTTTGGGCCCCCAGTGCCCCACCCATTCTTTTTGTCTTTCTCTAAGGGCCAATCCTACACCCTCCACCCAAGGGGGGCCAAGGCCCCCGCCTTTCAGGAGGCTCCGCCCTGGCCAGGTTCTCAGTCTGGGGACTCTCCCTTTCCATAAAGTGACACACAACACACATATTCCTTCCCATTGCTCAGTAGCCCAGGGGCTGGCTTGCTCGGGACAGGGCAGCTGTCCTGGCTAGGCTGGAGAGGCTCTGGTGGGGAGGACAGAGGGAGAGAACAAGTGCCTTGCAGCCCCGCTGGGACCATCAGAGCAAAACGCCAGGCCTCCTCCAAGTGCCTGGGCCTCCCTGCCAGAGCTTAGTACCTGCTCTGGGGCCCAGAGCTCTGCAAAGAGCTAGAAACCTTACTACCATCTGGCCGGCTAGGCTGTGGCTGTGCCACCTGAGCCACATTCTGCATAAGCCCCAGCTGGCCCCAACAGGGCTCCTTTAAACAAGGGGTTCCCATCCCATGGCCCCAAGATTAGCCGGCAGCAGTAAAAGCTCTGAGCACATAGGAACATCTCTGTTGGACTAACCCTCGGTGGAGGCAGGAGCACAGGGCTTGGGGACTACCCTGGCCATGTAACGAACACACAGGGAGGCATCCGGAGTCCATTAGGGCTGCCTTGCTGGGTCAGCCTGACACTGGGCCTACCACATGCTCACAACATACACAGGAGGGGAACACTGTCCACCTTAGAAGAGGAAACCAAGGCCCAGGAGGTGAGACAATGTGCCCTAAGATAATGGTTGGATGCAGAAAAAATACACAGGCCCCCTAGTTTAGAAGCTCACCCCAAACCCACCATGCATCTCCTTTGTGGGGGGCATCCGGAGCACATGGGCAGGGAGCTCCCAGTCCTGCTAGAGATGCAGTCAGGCTTCCTGAGCATTGGTCCCAGGGGAGGATCCCACCACCTGCTGGGGGATCTCAGCTTTACAGAGGGATGTGTCTGCAGCTGCCCCTGAGGAATGGGACTGGAATGTCCCTGCTCCAAAAGAGGGGGCAGTGAGTGAAGGGGGCCCAGGAAAGGGACAGGAGAGGCTGGAGTAACCAAGCCCCATGGAGGAGCCCAGAGTCAAAACCCTGAGGGGTGGGTGATTCTTAGTGTCACCACATAGCCGCTCAGAGTAGCAGAGCGCTCTACAGCTTCTCTCACTTCATCACCTCATCTCCTCTCTACAGCAGCCTCGTGGGGGCAGGCAGGGAAACTGAGGCACAGGAAAAGGAAGTGAGCTGCCCAAGATCCCACAGGGACAAGCAGTCCTCACTCCCCAGGCAGGCCCTCTGGACTGTAGCAGGCTGTTCAGCCACATACTGCTGTGCGTGCATGTCCGCCCAGCCCCCACAAGTGCTTTTCCCAAGGGCGTCTGTCACCAGGTTGTTTTGGATCCCAGGCCCCTCAGCCTGGAATCCCTCTTGCCTGGCCCTGGGTCGGAAGGAAGAGTGGATACGTTGCTGCATGGGGACTCTGAGCTGGAAGCTGCTAGTTTAGAGGGATCAGGCTGGTCCTATTCATTCACAGTCTCGCACATACACACCCACACACAGCCAGCAGGTGGGGGAGCCCTGCCCAGGAGGGCCCCGGGGAAGGGGGGGTTGCTGATCACAGGGGCCCAGGATGGCCTCCTGCTTCCTCCACTCCCCACTTTGGCCAGGCAGGGAGAGGGCCCAGCAGCCAAGTTGTGGGACAGCCAGGCTAAACTCCAGGTGCAAAGTAGGCGAACAACAATCTGCTCTTTATGGGTGGGCTGCTCTTTAGGGATTGGAGATGACAGGTCCCAGTCATCTTTCCAGACACAGCCAGGGTCCTGATTTCGGCCTGGCCCCAGGCCAGCCCTCACTTTAGCCAAAGGTTGTGGCCAGACTGGGCCGGTCCTCTGGCCGCCAAGACCTGGGAGTGTCCCCTAGGCAGATGGAGACTCCTGGTAGCTGGCCCGCGGCTGCCCCTACGGGGTAGGGTGTTGGAGCAGAAGTGGGTATCCCAGGGAAGGCGACAGGAGAGGACTGTGGAGCGGCAGACGAGGTTCGCATCCCCACGGAATTTCCCCTGGGAAGGCAGTGGCTGAGGCGAGGGCTCCCCAGAACGGCGGGAGGTCCTGGAGCTACCTGGGGAGCGGGAGGGGGCGTCTCTCCCTGGCTCCTCCCCGGGCCTGCCGGGAGCTCCGGGTTGAGGGCAGAGGCGCCAACAGTGCCTGCCCCACCCCAGCCGCGGCGCAGGGGTACGGGGCGCTGCTCCAAGGAGAGCGCGTTTGCAGCGGTTGCGGGGAGCAGCGTAACCCGGCTGCCAGTCCAGCGGATCGTCGCCTTCAGTCCCTGGTCCCTCGCCTCTGTGCTCAGTGTCTGGGAGCAGGAACACCTGGGCGCACACCGCGCCCTGCCACCCCCACTTCTCAGACCGGCACCTTCACTGGCGAATGGCTGCGGCTTGGCCAAGGTCACTGGGAAAGCTAGACCTCTGCGGCCGGCCCCACCCCCCGAGTCCCGGTCCCCGGCCCGGTGCGCCCCACTTACCATGCTGGCGCCGCTCCGCACCCCTCGCGCGCAGCAGCTCCCTGGCGCGGATTTGAGCCTTCCCTCCGAGGCGCTGGCTCCAGCTCAGACTGCGAGCCGGGCCGGAGAGGCCGGGCGGCGGGCCCCGGGAAAACGCGGGCGGGCGGGCGGCCGCCGGAGCCGGATTGGCGAGGGAGGGACGCGCTCGGCGGCGCTCACTCGCCTGCCCCAGAGGCGGAGGAAAAACCCGGCCTGACTCACCGGCGCTCGGCCAGCCCCAAGCCCGGCCGGGCCCCCGGATGTGGAGGGCGGGGACGGGGGGCAACCCCCGCCCACCGCGGGCCGACCTGAGCCCCGCCCGGCTCTCTGCGGCTGCCTGGCCCCGGCCCTCCGAGGCGCCGCGCCGCGGGCGGGGGGCAGAGCTCCCGGCCGGCTGCATCCTGAGCCGCGGCGCTTGCTGCGCGCCGGCTCGGCCCCGGGCAGGTCTGCAGCCCTGGAGCGGCCGACGTCCCGGAGTGCCCAGTCCCGCCGCTCCTCCTCCTCCTGGCCTAACCCGGCCTTTGTTTCCCGAACTCGACAGCTTTCGGAGAGGTGCATTCCATCCATCACCTCCCTGGTCCTCTCCGCCTCCTCTTAGGTAAGTATTATTATCCCCTTTTGAGTTGAGCAAAAGAGTTCCCCAAGAGGCGGAGAGGTTTGCCCAAGGTCTTCTGCTCGTTAGCGACTCAACTGGCGCTGTTTTTTTTTTTCTTTTTGCCGCCAATCTTTCAGGGGGCAGCAAATTCAGATGCCTTCAGGGGCCAAATAAGGAGTCGAACGGGAGGATGCAATGCAATAGAAGAGATGGAGACCGGGAGATGGACGCCTGAAGGCATTCAGATTTTAAAAAGTGAAACAAACGCCTTCCTCAAAAAGTTAGACTTAGAACTACCTTATGGCCCAGCAATTGCACTTCTAGGTATATACCCAAAAGATTTGAAAATAGGGACTCAAAAGAGTACTTGTACACGGATGTTCTTGATGTTCTTAGCAGGACGATTGACGAAATCAAACATGAACACAGTCAAAACTGTCCATCAGCTGATGAGGGGATGAACACGCTGTGGTCCATCCATAGGATGGAATATTATTTAACCATGAAAAGGGATGATGTTCTGATAAATGTTACAACATGGTTGAACCTGCCAAAAATTATGCTAAGTGAAAGTGACCAGATACACAACAAGGCCACATGTGGTTTGATTCCACTCAGGTGAAGTCAGTAAATCCATACAGAGAGAAAGTAGGCTAGTGCCGGAGCTCTGGGGAGGGAGAAATGAGGACTGACTGCTAACTGGGCATGAAATTTCCTTCTGGGATGAGGAGAATGTTTTGGAGACAGATAGAGGTGTTGGTGTCCTAACATTGTGAATGTACTAAATGCCATCATTTTATTATATGAATTTCCCACAAAAAAAAAAGGACATCATGTCACCTGTGGATCAGATTTGGTCCATGGGTCACCGGTTTGCAACCCGTTGTCTTCTATGCTGTCTTGGCCAATTTCCTAACAATGGACATGGCCAAACATCAGAGGACTTGGCTATTCAAGAAATCTCAATAACTGTACTGGGTGTCAGCCCCAGAGGAGCCCTCAGACTCACTGGGATAGATGAAGGTTCAGAGCAAGGACACAATTCATCTTTTTGGGCATGTAAGGCAAGGCCTCACTGGGGAGGTAGCTTTTGAGATGGTGCATGAAGAATGGAAAGCATTTCCATGGAGAAGGGGTGCTCACCGTGGAGCAAGAGCCTGTGGCTGGAGAAGGCAGGGCATGTCTAGGTGATGGCAAGCTTATCAGTGAGCCTGGAGCCCTGGGAGTGGGAACGGTTGAGGGGCAGATGGATCCAGCAGGTGACGGGAGCCTCTCAGGTGTTGAGAGAGGGAGATGTGAGGGCCCACCGGACTTGGGTCACGCACACAGGTGCTGTGAGGTGGTGGAGGCAAAGAGGCCGATTACTGGAAGTCTTGGAACAAAACTGGGACCACAAAAGGCAGGGACAGTAAGGGGCGAAGAGGTGGAGCATATTCATGAGATGGTTTGAAGGAAGAATTGACTTGTCTTGGCACAGATTACTGAGGAGAAGGAGGGGAATCAAAGATGAATTCTAGTGAAAACTCAGATTTGGTTCCTCCTCTTTCTGTTGTTACAAACACAGTGACTTATCCAAGGTCTTTGACCTCTCAGACCAGTGTTCTTTCCCTATGTCAGGCTACCAGAGGGAGGTGGGAGGGGAAGGGTGTTCAGGATCTTGGAATATCCCAAAAAGAGGGAAAGACATCGGAAGATGGCCTGAGCCCAGAGATCAGAGATGTGCCAGTCAGGGCTGTGGGCAGGGAGCCTGCTGGCCGAGTGAGGGCAGGGAGGGGGAAAGGGGTGGGGGGAGGGCACAGGCGGGAGGGTCCTGGCTGATGGAATCCCAAGCAAGGGGCTTCACACCAGAGAAGGGCAACTGCAAGGCGGAGGCTGTCGCAACCCTGGCAGTGTGGCAGGGAGCTTGTGCCCCACCCACACCAGGACCTTCTCCTCAGTGGCTGGGTGCAGAGCGTAGGGGACTGGGGCAGGGACAGAGATCAGCGTGGCTCCATCCCTTTCACATAGCTGTCCGTCAAAGAAACAAAGCCCAGGTCCCTGGCCCCCTCCTGCCTGGACCAAGCTACCTGTCCCCCACCTGGTCACAAGCTGTGGCTCCATGAGCATCCCTCCCCAGCCCTCCCCATAAGGTGGGGGCTGCTCCTTTCTGCCTGGCTTCTCTGAGCCCTTTGAGGTTGTCCTGGTCACATGGATGGGGCATACAGGGGAGGGGGGGATGGCAGCCAGCTGCCCCAGGGGAGAAGCAGCTTCAGTACTAAATCCAGAATGTGCTTCCTCCTCCTGCTCCCCACACCCTGCACCCTCATGCTTCCCCGTGTGCATCTTTGAACATTAACTTTAGGGTACAAACCATGGAGTACCCTCACTCGAACCTCCTTTGATAAAAAAACTGAGGTCCAGAGAGGGGACATGGCTTGTCCACCCCAGAGTACATCTCAGAGCTGGTTCCTGGCAGAGCTGGGCCTAGAAGCTGGTCTTGTGCCACCTAGACTGGTGCTCACTATGTTCCCCTGCACTCTTCAGGCAGGCTGCTCCTTGGCCCTTAGCTGCCATCTGCCCTCCTGAGGCCTTTGAGGGAAGGTGGGCCGAGTAGATGGAGGAGTCGGAAGCCGGCAGGAGCCGGGCCTCTGTCCGCCTCCTCATGCTTGCCTGGACAGCATGGGAGAGGCCAGACTGTGGGAGCAGAGGTACTTGGTATGCAGTGAACTTTGCTCATCTTCCTGGGCTTACCATGCAGAGACCCCTGCCTGTGCCAGCAGACCCCAGAACTGGCATTCTGTGGAGTTGGGTTGGGAGCCACACTGCCCAGATGGCGTGGGGTGAGGCACTTAGAGCTCCAGGCCAGCGGAAAGGAAACCAAGCTCCCTGGATGCACCCACTTCCTGCACTGGCTGACCTTGGATAATGCAGTTTCTCTCTCTGAGCCTCAGCCTTCTGATCTCAAATATAGGACATGTAGTTTGGCCGGGAGAATTAAGTGAAATAACATTTGTGAAGCACCCATCACAGTGCCTAGCAAATAGGCAGCTGTGAATGTTAGTTTGTCCTTCGTCCTTCTCTTTATGGGGAAACTCTGTTGGAAGGACAAGCCTGTCTTTAAGTGGTGGGAGGGTGTGTGCTGCCTCGCCCAGCATGTATTCTCATTGTCCTGGGCTGGGTAGCATGGCATCCATGCTGCCATTGAGTGGCTGGGACTAAACTCCTGGAGCCACCTAAGGAAATTAGTAATTGCCCCTTCTCTCTGGCCGCCACCTCTTGCCTCATCACCTTTCTCCTTGATATTGCAGCAGTCTGCCTGGGCTCCCTACGGCCCAGTGTCATGCCCTCTGCCTGAGGGCGCTTTCCAGTCCACACACTCAACCCCCACTGTCCTTTGCTTGAGAAGTGTTGTCCCAGCCTCAGGACTGGTCCTGTGGCTCCTCCAGCCCCAGGCCCTGCCATGTGCATCCCTGTGCCTGGGGACCTACTCAGTGCCCTCATCTGTAAATGCTGGTTGTTGGGAGAATCCAATAAGGGCCCCCACTGTGCCCAAGGCCCCTTCTCCCACCCCCAGGGCAGTAGTCCCCCGACCCAGCCGCTGTTGCTGTGGCAGCACCGTCACATTGCATAGCATTGTTAAGTTACCTGTCTGTCACCCCCAGGAGACAGTGATCCCCGAACACACAGAGATTGGCTTCCAGTCCATTTCCAGACCCCCAGCACCTCCTCCAGGACCTGACAGTAGGCTGTGCTCAGCTCCACCGCACCATCTGCCAAAAAGCCACATCATGGCTGCTTCTAACCAGGAGGAGGATGAAGAAAGGCAGGCCTGGCTCTAATCCCAGTCCCAAACTTCTGGTGACCTCTCTAAACCTCAGTTTCCTCATTTGTAAACAGGCAGAATCGTCACAAAGATGAGATGGCATAACCCTGGTGAAGGAAGGACTTGACAGCTATGTGTCCCCTCCCACCCTTCACCCTTGCCCTCCCTTGTCTTCCTGTCCTCGTGGAGTGGTGCCAGGCCCCGGAGGAGGGAGGAGGGAGGAGAGCTGGGTGTTCCTGGAGACACATCTGAGGGTCTGAGGCCTCGCAAGGAACAGGTAACAGGTAAATCCCGGTGGCTGCTATACCTCCTGGCAGCTCCTCCAAGATTATTTCAAACCCAAGAGCCGTGTCCCGGTGGGGCCAAGGCAGTAGGACCCTGCCCGTCCATGCCCACACTACACCCTGGGGTGAAAGTGGATTCCTGGGACCTGACTGCCCTCCCTGAGTCATCCGTGCTGCGGAAGAGCCTTTGTTTGCTCCGACTGCCCCCCTGCTGCCCCCCTGACCAGGGCAGCCCCAGGCTGCAGGTGGGCGTGGGAGCTGAGAGCTGCCAGGACTTGCTCAGGTGCCTGCCCTGTGGCAGAGAGTTTAGGCGTGCAGGATCAGCCAGAGCTGCAGTGTGAAAGCCGCCCTGGGAGGACCGGCAGCCTGACTGGCCCACAGGCTGGTCACTGGGTGGTAACAGGGCACTTTGCTCTGGAACGAGGAAGACCTGGGCTCCGATCCCTGGATCATGGTGGATTATGGGTGGGGTGGGGGGATGGTGGTTGGGGGGTATTGAGAGAGGTCTGGGGAGGTCACTGCAACATTGTACAATGACAAGATGAAAGAGTTCTAGAGATCAGTTGCCCAAAAATGCGAATGTGTTTGACACCATTGAACTGCAGTCTTGAAATAGGGTAAGATTAGATTGTATGTTATGTGTATTTCACAATTGAAAACTTTTTAAAAAATTTAAAAAGCTGTACATTAAATGAACTTTGATTCTCGTATTCCAGTGTCACCTAAAAGTTGCTAGTATTGCGGCAGTCATTTTTTTGTGAACAAGGACTTTACCTACACTACTTTTAAGCTTAATTATGGAAGTTTCCAGATACATACGAAGGCAGAAGAGAGCATAAAAAGCCTCCCCTGCACCTGTCCCCCAACTTTATGATTTTATTCATCTCAATTCAAACCCCCCTGCCATGTCCCAGCTCCTCCACTTCCCGGTTATTTTTTAAGCAAATTGCAGACCTTATCATATTCCATCCATCAATATTTCAGTGTAGACAAACATTTCAAATTGTGATAGGTATTTATTTTAGGGTGGGTGGTTCACAGGTATGATTGCCTAAAACCAGGATGAAGAGTTCAGACCCCTCAGGTCAGCCTGGCAAGGCTTCTAGCAAGTGGGCAGGTGGTGTCTCTGCTTTGCCCTCCACCAGCTCTGGGACCACCTGCCCCCTGACATTCCTCTCCTCAGAGAATGAGGAAGATCACCCCTCTCTTCCTGGAGGAGTGACCTTGGGGAACTCCTCCTGCCTGTGAGGAAAAGATGGCTGAGATGTGGAAATGTACCCCTTCAGTGCCAAAAGAGGGGCACTACCCTCAGAGGATAGGCATCACAGGCCTGACCAGCTCGGTCCTGGTCTGGCGGGTCTTAGCCACCAGGCCACCCAGGTACCCCCTCACTTATGTGTCCACCCAGTGACCCCTCACCTGCCCTTCCATCTATCCATGCTCAGCCAGTCAGCCAACCCGGGCTATAGCCCTCCCTGCCCTGGGCCCTGGAACATGAAAGACCACAGGCTTTGGAAGTCTGAAAATCAGCCCTCCTTCCCCTCTACGTTCTGCTGAGGCAGAGGTTTCCTAGGCCCCTGCTCTATTCTGCTTCTTCAGCCCACTGAGTACATGTGCTGGATACAGCTTTGCCTGTCTGGCTTCCATCCCAACCCACAGCAAGCCTGACTCAAAGAACCACGTGATGGCCGTGGCCTCTACCCAAGCATTCACCCAGCCCCACCCAGGAGAGCCAGATGGGCTTGTACACACCCTCATCCGCCTGGCGCTGCCATACCCCCCACCGTCTGTCCACACCTACTGGGGCAGCAGCTCCCTGCCCACTTGCTCCACCTCTCTCCCAAGATCTGGGCCACGCACATTCTCCTGCAGCCCTCAAGGTCCTCTGAGCAGGTGTTTGTCACTCCTTGGTGGGTCCAGTGGCAGGATGGCCACAGAACATTGTGTGGCACGGATATCAGGGGGTGCAGGCGCCCTGGGCCAGTCTCTTAATCTGACTCTGCAAACAGCTGCCAGTCCCAGGGGTTTGCCAGGCTGACAGGCAGAGCACTAAAGTGGCCAACGACCGCCCACCATCTGCGGGTTACTTCACCCACACAAGCCAGTGAGAAGGTCACACAGACCTACTGAACAGCTTGTTCCTGGGGTGTCTTCTGAGGAGCAGCTGCTGAGATGGAGTTAGGGGCATGAGAGTTTATTGAGGGGACAGCTATGAAAGATTTAAGGGGGAGAAACCAGGTTGGGCAGAGGGCACCACCAGGAAATTCAGACCCCAATGGTTCTGCCCAGCCTAGAGCTCCAGATCTAACTGCCTGTTGGAGGGTCCCTCCATGGACAGGAAAGGGCCTTATACCACAACCTTGCTCAGTCACTGGCCTCTGTAGAAGAATGTGACCTCCATCTAAAAGCTGATTTGGTCTCAGAAGGTGCTAACAGCTGGGCACTGCCTGCCAGGCAGTGAGTTCTTTCTTTCAGGGGGCATCACGTCCCACCCAGGCCAGGCTGTGTGCCCTGGCCTGCAGACATAAAATCTTGAGCATGGAAGAGGGTCGATGGTGTGGCCATGGCCTCTTATATTCTGTCTCCCTTGAGGAGGTGCTTAGTGTGGTTGAATGAATGCAGGTGTGAACACGCAGATGAACTTACTCTTCAAGAATTGGGTTTTAGTGAGATTCTGGAATTTGGCTTCAGGGCACCTTGCACTCCCATTGAGTCCTGGCCTTTAGTAGCTGTGTGACCTTTAACCTGCTCTAAACCTGAATTTTTTTGTGAAATGAAGGTGAAGAGATTTAAATGTGGTGATGTCTCAAGAAGCCTTATGTGGTGTAAAATCACGGGTCTGACATGACCTTCCTTATATGGAGCGTAGCAATCACCCAGTGCAAGAAAAGGGACAGGAAGAAAGAAAATACGCTGGAAATGTTAACATCTGATATCTCTGGGTGATTTTGTTTGTTTTATTTTGAAATGGTTAGAGAAAGGTTGCAAAAATAGTAGAGTTCATTTATATCCTTGACACAGCCTCCCCATGTGTTGACATCACACATAACTGTGCACAGTGATGACAGCGGAGAGGTTAAGAGCAGTACGCAGTGTACTGGAATTGCAGGCTTCATTCAGATTCAACCAGCTTTTCTACTAAGGGCCCTTGTCTGGTTCAGATCCAGCCCAGCACCCCATGTGGCATTTGGTTGTCCTATCTCAGTCTTCTCCAGTCTCTGATAGTTCCTTCATCTTATGTAGTTCCTACATCTTTTGTGTCCTCATTTTTTTGAAGAGTACTGGCCAGGTGTGTTGTAGAATACCCTTCAACTTGGGTTTGTCTGAGGCTGGGCAGCATGGGGAAGGTTAATGTAGAGATGTGCACCCTTTCTGGCACATATCAGGGGCCACAAGATATTCGTGTTAACTCTTTCCTGGTGACTAGGCAAAGACCTTAGAACACTTTAATTCCATTCACTCCTCTTTTGATATCCAAGCTCCTGTTTTCTATATAACTCCACAGATATTATTACTGTTGTTTCATACAGTTAGCCTTGACTTAGATTGACACACATATTAAGCATGGTTTTGTCCTTCATTCCTTCCTGTACCCATTGATTTTCCAGCTTCTTTCAGTTTTTGTCTGAAAATATCTTTATTTAGCATTTCCTCTCAAGGATAATTTCGATGAGTATAGAATTCTAAGTTGGCACTCATTTCCTTTTAGTACTTTGAAGCTTTTGTTCAACTATCTTCTGGCTTCCATTTTTGCTGTTGAGGTGTGAGATGTGGTCTAATTGGGTCAATCAGTTAGGTTTTGGTAGAGCATGCTGCAGTAGCAAGCATCTCTTATCTCCTTCACTTGTAATAAGAAAGGTTTATTTCTAGCTTGCTTTCCATGTCCTTTGTGGGTTGGCTGAAGTTCCTACCTGGGACATGCTAGTCTTCTGGCAGAAGGAAAACAGCCGTGGTAAAATAATGTGATAATTCTTAATGATCTTGCTGAGAAATAGCAGTAGACGTTGCTTATACTCACACCATTAGCCTCACATGTCATTGGCCAAAGCCTGCTAATAGCAGGGTGGAAAAGTACTATCCTCCCACAGGAATTGTTGGCAAATAATTGGGAACAATAATGCCATCTACCAGGCTGCTACTTCTTTGAAGAGCTCTGTATCACTTAGAGTCCACTTAGGAAAATAGAAACCATACTAGTTTTTTCAAACAAAGGAGATATAATACACAAGGTGGGTTCTTCGCATAAATTTTGGGAGGCCAAAAGAGCAAAAGAGGGTGCTGGGGTTACCCAGATTACAGTTGCCACCCCTAGACCTGGGAGGATAGAGGCAAAGAGGTAGAGCTGATAGGAACTAAGGGCTTGGAGAAAATCCCAGTCTGGGGCTCGGACTGTAAGAAGGGCCCTGATGGCTTGGGTGTGGGCTATTACCTGTAAGGGGTTTGGTGTGGCTGGTGCCCAGAGTCTTGAAAATCTCAGAAGGCTGGAGGTGCCTGTAGTGAAGCCAACAGGAAGAAGAGATAGGAAGTAATCCCCTTCTTCTGCCTGCTGGTCTCCCTTTAGTGTCTCTGATGGGCAGAACCAAACAAGAAGTCAGCTGGCAAAGGGACCTGGGAAATACGGATTTCAGACCCTACAGATTATAGAAGGGTGTGCTGTGTCCAGAGAGACAGGAGATATATAACCAGCAATATTTTCCATCATTTTTCTCTTTGTCTTTGGTTTTCTGCATTTCCACCCTGAGGGGTTGAGGTGTAGATTTCTTTTTATTTATTCTGCTTAGGATCCATTTGAGTTCTCAAATTATAGATTGATATCTTACATCATTCTGGAAAATTCTCAACCACCATCTTTCCAAATACTGCCTCTGTTTCAGCATCTATCTCTTGTCTTCTTCTAAGACTGCAATTAGACAAAGATAAGATCTTCTCATTGTAACTTCCATATCTATAATTCTTATCCTTTTGTGTCTTTGTACTTCTTTCTGGATAGTCTCTTCTGACTAGCCTTCCAATTCTCTAATTCACTTTTCAGCCACGTCAAATCTGCTGTTAAATCTACCCACTGAGTTTATAATTTTGGTTTTGAGTTTTTAGCTTCTATTTATTCTTTTTTTTAATATACTGTATAATTTAAAAAAATTTTTTTTTTAGGAGAACAAGGTAGAGGCTTTTATTTAGAGATAAAGTGAGAGCACAGAGCCCCTGGCTCATGCGAGGAGGGGACAAGAGAGCTCAGGCTGGTGTGTTTTCCGGGGGATTTACAGGCAGTTTAGGATTTTGGGGAATGGATGAAGGGCTTAGGGGTGTGGACTTGTTAAAAGTGGTCTTAGGATGTTTGTCCTTGATGAGACATGAAGTCTCTTTTAGCATGCTAAAGTGAATCTTACACATGATTACAAATGATTAGCATAATAAAAACATGGGCTACTTTCCTTTATCTGGGGAATATCAA